CCCAAGCGCGTTTCTCCCCTTTCTTCTTTTCTGCGTCCACTGTAAGCTAATACCAGTATTTAAAAGCAAAGACAAAAATTTAATTCGAATAGGCCTAAATTAATTGAGTGGTGCAAAAAACATAAAAACCAGGTGTAAAAAATATGGGCCTAAATGGGTCAGACAAAAATCAGCAGCAGTTGTGGTACTATGCGGCTGTGGAATAGGAGAAAGTCATCGTATATTCCACCAGGACTCTGCATACGTACTCGAAAATAATCACAAGAACGCATAATTCAATCGTAAAAAAAAACGTTGCAAATAATTCTTCCTTTATTTTAGTGGCACTGCAGCAGGGATAAAAGAAGAGAGAGGAACTAGGAGGATGTATTAATTCGAATGGAAAAAGAGTACGATACTCAGTTAGTAGGATATAAAGTAGTGTTGAGCGAATAGTACTCAATCGAAAGAGCACTAAATTTTGCCACAAATGCATTAGGATCAGCTCGAAAATGCAAAGCTGCGTCGAATAGCGAAAAGAAATGATTCAAAGAAAGTTTTAAAAAAAGAGGAACAATTTCAGGTATTTTGAACAAATGGGAGAAAATAAAGAGGCGGATGGAGAGAGGGTAAAAGGGACGAAGAAAGGCTTGCAAAGCTCCTATCTCGTTTTTGAAAGTTGGAAGAGACACTAATTTAATCAGAAGTCACAGGTTTTAGTTCGACTGCGCTTTAATGACTGTTTTGCAAAGCATTTGATTTTGAGGACAATGCCCTCGATCGAGCCGATGCCGCGGAAGAGAAGGTACGACAGATGACCGACAAGCTGGAGCGAATCGAGGAGGAACTACGAGATACCCAAAAGAAAATGATGCAGACCGAGAATGATCTCGACAAGGCACAGGAGGATCTGGCCGTTGCCAATAATAACCTGGAAGAGAAAGAAAAAAAAGTACAGGAGGTGGGCTGCTTTGGTACCACTAATTTACAGCTAACTCAGTGAACGATGAGAAAACAAGGGGTAAAAAATTTCTGAAGAAAACTGAGGATAAAAAGTTTCTGGACTTTTTGTAAAATTCAAGCATTTTTTTGAAAAATTACTTTACTAACTAAAATTTGATGTTTTTTTCATTGCTCTGAGCAGTTAAAGCCACAATTAATGGGAGAATTTTAATGCTTGGGAGCATGTTTTTCCCGATGTTATGTTACCCTAATCCGCCGCACACGAGCACAATCCGACAGCAGCAGTAACAACAACAACGACGAGGACGAGGACAGTGATAATTGCTGGAGCAAAAAGGTTCGCGATACTTTCGCATCTCAAAAAAAGTTTTATAGCTATTTTTGTGTGTGATGTTTAGACGTATCAGTGAATAGCTCCGGGCGCCGCTGGCTTTCTCCCAGTCTCTTTCATGGTTTCTTTTGCAAAAAATAGCTTTTCAATGGCATAATGTGTGCGTGTGTGCAAGCGAACGAGCGTTTATCATTGATATTGCAAATGCTCTTTTTTAACAAAAATTGCGAATTTTCTTTTTCCCTTGAAGTAGACTATTTTAAAAATCATAATTTACAAACGAATGAAAAACTGTTTGTCAGCCTCTCTCAGTCTTTCTCCACTCAATTCCCTTCCTTTCTGCCTCTTCTTTGCGCTTCCAAAATTCACTCTTTGTCAGGAAAAGGGGAAACACTCGGACAAAAGAAAAAATATTAACAAACAAATATTCAGTTGATGTGCTATTTCAAAATTTTCAGTTGATGTAGCACAAATGACATCGAGTGCTTTTGAATCGATGTCATTTGCGTTACGTGTTGCTTATTTGTCTGGATTTTTGATGATCACGACATCTTCAGGTAAGGGGAATGGTGAACTACAGCAAATTTGATAGCACCATCTAATTAGCCACAATGAATATGAGGTCAAAACTAAACCAAAACGACTAAGAACGGATTAAATTGGCCTCTAATTTGATCATTTTAAGAAGTATTCATTTT